CTGTGTCTCTCTTTGTCAAATAAATAAATAAAATCTTAAAAAAAAAAAAAAAAGACGTGCCTCACTTCCTTTCCGAGGGACCTCTGCAAACTCGAGCCTTTTGACTTCAGTTGGGCTCTTATTCTTGGTTCTTTCCATCCTTTCTCCAGAGAGATTGTTCTCAAATGTAGATGTGATCAAGGCACTCCCTGCTTCAGACCCTGCAGAGGCTCCCTGGCGCCCTCAGCACCAACAAGGAGGACAGTTGGTGGTCTTCTGCATCAGCTCTGTTTTCGGCTTCCCCCGCGGCCCAGCCGGTTCCCTGGCCAGGCCAGTCCAGCAGCCAGCTTCCTCTTCCCCACGCAGGGGCCTCTCACCCCTGAGCCCTCGCATCTGTTCTTCCCGAGCACCGTCCCTTGGCCTCTCCGCTCTTGCTCCTTCTCGAGCCCCGGTCAGGCCTCTGCTGAGACACCAGCTCCTTCGGGAACCCTCCCTCTCACCCCTGTGCCCCCACTCTAAGTTGGGAGCCCTTCTCTGGACAGGGCCACAGCAGCTATAACCCGTCTGGCGCCTTGACCTCCAGGACTAAACCCTTCATACTTCTCTCTGGCCGGCCGATGGTGCTTGGTGAAGCAAGGGCAGGAGTTGCATGTGTAGGATTTATTTCAGCAAACGAGATTCAGAAGAGACTTTTCAAGCATTTTTATTATCTAAAGGGTCTGAGTGTTAATGTTCTCCCTTGGTTGTTCACAAAGAAGAGAACTGAGTGTTCGTGTGCAAGAACTCTTTTGCTTGTTGGGGGCGGGGTGTGCATTTCCTTGACCACGTGAGCAGCAAATGCCCATGCAGAAAGACACACGAAAGGAACCCTGGTTCATACAGATGTGTGAAGCCTTAAACCTGTGGTGGTTTAGCTGTTCGACACAGAATTCTCAGGTGTAATGCTTGGTCCTCAGTGGAGCTGCTTCAGTCCCCCAGACGGGCAGGAGCATCTGCTCGCATCACTCCCTGGGTACTCTCTGCCCCCCTTACTGGGCGTGTAGCGCATCTCTGCCCCTGAGGGACAGCAGCGCCTGGGGCAAAGGCCACAGCTGCCCCATCTCGGCTCGCCTGCATCCTGGAGCCGGGCCCAGAGACAGAGTGAATGGCAAGCTGGAAGAGAACAGAGAGATTTAATTTGAAAAATAACAAGACTACCAGAGAGGTTGCCAGATAAGAAAGCTTTTCCTGATCTGCCTGCTTTCATTTAGCTTCTTTGAACATTGCATGCGTGAGTCCATTCCAGCTCGACACCTGGGTGTTATAGCCTCTCAATTTTGAGGGTTAGATTTGCTGTAAAGATTTTCTGCTCCTCTCCTCATGGAGGCAGGCGTTCGGTTTCTCCGAGGAGATTCTTGTAGATACTGTTAGTTGATCATCACGCTGAAGATTAATTTAGGATTCCAGGGATTTCTTTTGGAACCCTAAGCCTCACTGCCCCCCGCTAATCATGAGCCAGAGGAGAGGAGAGAGGAAGAGAAATCTTCTCCACCCACGGCGCCATTCTTAAATGGAACCAGTAATTGAATGCTATTAAGCCAAATTAATTTGCCTCCTGCAGGAAGGTTTATGATGAATGAAAGGCTTGCTAATCGGGGAGGGAGCCAGGCTACCCTCTGTGGTCATCAATATTTCATGGCCATAGGCGGTGGCAGGAAGTTAGCTGTCCTGGCTCCCTGACCTTGAGCGATCCAAAGGTAGGACGCAGCCAGCAGCGTTGTATTCAGAGGGCTTGTTACAAGTGAAACGGGCAAGATGCACTCGCAGGTTAATTGAACTTAGACCCTCAGCTAGTGGGAGGCTCAGGGCCCCACCTGAGACTGGTCCTAGTGGGGAGTGCAGCTCTGTCAGCCACAGTGGCAGAGCTGGAATGTTTACCAGTGGCTTTGGGGGGCTGGGGCATCTTGATCTGTAGTGCCTGCGGATTTCTGTGGTGTCGGTATGGCAAGTTTAAAGCTCCTGAGCCCAGAATGGGGAGATGCACACAAACATACCACTGGAGCTGGGAACCCCAGCTCCCATAACTCCCTGATTCTTCCTGATGACTGGGGGAAATCCTGCCAAGCTGATGCGGTTCCAGAAATATAGATGTGCCCCTGGGCAGTACTCATCTGCATTAGACTTGGCCTCTTGACAGAGGGCGCTTGAATGTCACTTGCTTTTAAAAATGAGAAAAGAAGTTAATGTGCCTCTCATTTTGTTCTTTCTTCTCCCTAGCTGCTATTAACTTAGCAAAGCTGAAACTTTTCAGACACTATTACGTCTTGGTGAGTTAAAAAAAAACCCCAAAAACCCTAAATCTGTAAATAAGATCAGTTCAAGGAGTAGAGCAAATAAACTTCCGAAGAATTGGCGAAAAGTACAAGATGTGGTATCTGGAGCTGTGCAGATTTCATTTTATCAAACCAAATTATGTCTTTTGATAGGGGGAATTAAACAGCTGAGTCACACGTTAAATGTTAGTTTTAAATGTGGCTTTAAATACTTGGAAAAGTAATACATGCTTGATGTTTTCTTATAATGCAAGGATTATAGAGACAAAGCAAAAGCCCTTTATGACCCTCATGTTCTCCCCCTTCCTTCCTCCCCCTCCCCCAGGTAATTCCTGTTAACAGTTTGGTGGTTATTTCTCTGGGTGCTCTTCCAGGCATATGCCAGATGGAGCCGCCCCTTGGCTTTCTTGTTTTATTCATTTGCAAAAACGGGATCACACCTAAAATCAGGACTGCTGGCCGTGAAAAGTCCTTTTGAGCATACACCAAAGGCAGGACCTGCTCTGAATTATTAGGGTAATGATTTCTTGGAATATATAAGGTGTAAGCTCTTCAAGAGTTTGCCTCCTGGTTCCTAAAAGAAAGTTTCTGAGTCTTCTATCTGTGGGCTGGACAATTCCTTCCCTGCAAGCCCAGCCACCCTGGGCGTGGTCCCAGTGAGCAGTCCATGCTCCAGTGGCCGGCACTGGGAATCCTTGCCACATCCTCCCTCGCTAGAGTACTCAGTGTTACTGGTACGTCCTCTGGGTGTGGGCCTCAGAGGCTCAGTGCCTCTGTCGAAGAGGCTAAAGCAGTGTGGACCCTGTGGGCTTCGTTTTGCTATTACTACTCGAAAACATTCCTCAAAGCCTGGGAATAAAATACACCGTCCTTTGGGGATTGAAGCCAGTGGGGTTATGTATGTGGAAAAGGTGAGGAAGGGGTGACTCGAGAGTTCAGAGCAGCCACGCCCAATGTTTTGTCCTCCCCACGTTGGGTGGTCACCTAGAGATGAGGAAC